CCTTGTTTATTGGTTGAGCTTGAAAAGACAGTTTGCACAACAATAATTTTCTGAGTGGATGATGTCAGGAAACATAATGGCATAATATAATGTGGTCTGATATTTACAGAGTTTTTACTACCCATTAATCTCCTGTTAAACTTTTGTCTGAAGCCTGCAGCAGCAGCTGTCCGGTGTTGGAGTGCTGGTTTGTGCAGGAGAAGGCGGGACGAGGAGGAGGTTTAACTGGAGCTACGACCCAAGAAAAATCCCTGCTTCACATCAGAACCGGAGCAGACGGCCAGGATGACGATTCCCAGCGCGCTCCTAAAGACATCAACCCCGAAAGAGTCTACTCTGTGATCGGTAATGTTCATCTTATTTTCTTTTATTTATAACCAGATCGAGTGTCTCAGACATCTTACATGTTGTATAATTGTGACCTTTGAATCCTGTTTCTCAGACCCAGCTGGCACCCTCTGCCACCGCTCCCTCAACCCTCCCAAAGGCTCTGTGACGAAGCCCCAGTGTGAGATCAACCCCTTCCTGCCGCAGCCCTCCAGCCTGGACTGGGTTTCCTCGCTCACAGAGTCTGGCCTCAGCCCCGTGTACCTGCAGGCTGAGTGGTTTTCATCTGCATTTCAGGGCCTCAACGAACAGCTGGGCATCTCTACTATCACCCGCGCCCCCACAGGATCTAAAGAGCACAGTGGTAATGATTTGATTTTAACCCAACACATTTATATCTGGGGGTTCACAGATTAATAAATTAATTGGCCAACAATTATAAAAGTTTATTATCTCACGTGTGTTGGTCTGACTCTGTTTCCTCAGTGATCCTGAGCGTGACGACTAAAACGGTCTCAGTAAAGTCCAGACTCGGGGAGCCCGTGCAGCTGGACTGCGGCTTTTGGATCAACCCTTCCTCTCCTCTGTATGGGGCTGGATTCGCCGTCGAATGGCGGTACCAGTTCAGAGGCCGCGGACGGCTGTTTCTGGCTTACGACGGGAAGACTGACCGCCTCGCTGACACGCAGGAAGAAGGAGCCACGCTGGACTTTGAGGCTTTGCACGAGAAAGGAAATGCATCCCTGCTCCTGCAGGAGGCTAAAGTGCTTCACTCTGGGACGTACATCTGCACGGTGTATCTGCCACACCTGCTCGCTCAGGTGGCGCTGGACCTTGAGATTGAAGGTGAGGAAAATGTATTTCTGGAGCATTACACACGTGTTTGCCTCACTGAAATAAGCAGATGTGTTTAAAATAAACACTCAGCTCTGTAAAAACTCCAGATTTAACTTTTAACTTCATCATGTTTTTCTGCTCCTCTCTCCACCCAGAACCGCCATCCCTCTCCATCCACCCCTCCCCCCTGCCCCTCGCTGTCCCAGGTCAGACTATAAACGTCCAGTGTGAAGCGTCCGGCTTTGCGCCCCTCCCTGTGGAGTTCAGCTGGGAGATTAAAGGTGCCGACGGGAAGTCCAAGACCCTGGATTCATTCAGCGTAACGGGCCACAGGCAGGCCTGGGACCGCACCTTCAGCCAGACCTCCCGGCTCGAGATCGACACCTCTAAGCTGAACCTGGGCAGAGGAGGCGAGCTCACCTGTGTGGCCGCCCACGCTGGAGGCACGAGACGGACCAGCGTGACCCTCAATGTCATCGGTAATGTGAAGCAAACCTGGAAGACACGCAAGCAAATTAACAGCTCAGTTTATGTTGAGTTAAAGCAGTTTTTATACACCTGGAGAAGGTACTAATGATAAAATAGAGAAAAGAAAGGTAGAATAGTATAGAAGGGAAACTGATATAAGAAAAATATTACCACTAACAAAACACTTTCCTTTAACTGAGGCTTATTAGGTTAGTATCACATATAAATGACAAAATATTTAACTATTTAAATAATCTTGAAACACGTTTACCTGGATAACTTTTGAGTTATCGTAGTTTGACACATTCTTAGATTTAAGTAAACAGTTTGAATCACCAGCTTCTGGATTTAAAACAGTTTGATTTTGTTAATCACCAAGTAACCATGTGGTACCATTTATGACCCACTGTGATATTTTATTTCTAAAATGATTTACTGCATCACAGACCTTCAGACTAACCTGAACTGTTGCATTTACGTAATATTTAATGGCATTAGAACATTTTAGTATGTCTGTTATAGATGAATGAAGCAGCACAGATATGATAAACACCATGAGAGCCATTAAAAATTGACTCCTGTTAGTACCTGAAATGACTCGGTTGGTGAAATAACTCTTAAAGGTTTAATATTGAAGTATATATAATACTGTGCAAATGTTTTAGGCAGCTGTAAACAAAGAATGCTTTAAAAATGGCCTTCTTCTACACTTGCACAGTTTTTGAAGGAACTCGGCTGGTAGGTTGTTCCAAACATCTTGGAGAACTAACCACAGATCTTCTGTGGATGTTGGCTTCCTCACATGCTTCTGTCTCTTCATGTAATCCCAGACACGCCTGAGTATGTTGCGATCAGGGCTCTGTGGGGACTGGACCATCACTTCCAGCACTTCTTGTTCTTCTTTACACTGAAGATAGTTCTTAATGACTTTGGCTCCATGTTTGGGGTCGTTGTCCTGCTGCAGAATACATTTGGGGCAAATAAACAATCATTTATATTTTTCAAAAGC